CTGCACCGCCTCGCCACCAGCTCCCCTAGGTAGAGACATGGTTGTTTTATGCCTCATCTCCACAACCCCTGGGGCCCCATACAGAGTCTGGTCAGACCTGTGAGCGCCGAGGCACAGGAGCTTTCATAGCCCACTAGAGACGACATGCACACTGCAGTCATGTGAAGGTGAAGAGCAGGGCCGAGCCTGTGCAGCCTGCTGTTATTGGCAACAACAAACAAACAGAACGTCTTTGACTAAAACCTGCAGGTCCACTAAACACAAAGTGGTCCCCCAGTCCAGCTCTGGAGGGCCACTGCTCTGCATGCTTTAGAGGTTTGCCTGCTTCATCACACCTGATTTAAATGAAAGGCTACTTCGACAGAACTTGACATACTAGGAGGTAATTTGCTCATTTGGATCGAGTGTGATGGAGCAGAGAAACATCTAAAACATGCAGGATAGTGGTTCCCCGAGGACCGGCTTTGATAATCTTTGGTATAAAGGTTTGATTAAAATAAAAAATAAACTAAAATTGAGTAACTTGATTACCTATTCAATCAGAACAGTTTATGATATTGAAGCTTAATGCTTATATATATATATATATATATATATATATATATATATATATATATATATATATATATATATATATATATATACTTTGGAAGCCGTAATGTTTGCTAATCCTCATCCACAACTGTCCATTAAAATCAAATATCCCATACATTTGTTATGCATCACTTTTCTATTTTATATGTGTCGACGTTTCTTTTTTTTTTGTTTCATTTTTTTTCTTTGCTACAACCTCCATGATCTGGTGGCCATCCTTCCAACTCAATCTTCTCTTTATACTATTAAAAATCTGTTCTTATAATAGAATAAATAAATTTAAGCAAAGAAAATAATTAAACGTATTAACGATTAGGATTTTTCCAGACACCTCTCCTCCGTTAACCACAGCCAGCTCCCCTTTAATTACCTCCAACCGAAGGTAAAAGTGAAGCGCACATACAACAGTAATGTAAGATATTCCTTTGAATTATATTTTATCAAACAGAGAGCGCTCAGTATCATGGAAGATGTCGAAAACATGGTTGGAAGTTATGCGAACAGAATATTTGATGTAGTGAGTTCTCTATCTGGCCTTTCATGTTGTTGAGTAGTTGTAAATGAGTGTCTGCGGCGTCTGGGGAGATGAAGTTTGGTATTCTGGTTGGAGGGCTGAAAACTACTTATCATGCATTACGGCCGTGGTTGGACCTCAGGATTTGGAAGTCAAAACACTTTTTAATGTACAATTTCTCAGCCGCTGATCAATCGACAGCTGCTGGACATGAAGGTCCTCCGCCCCCACTCTTGACGACCCCCCCACCCCACCCATCCCCGCTCCTGCTCCCTGTATTCTGACTCGCTTGGCATTCCGCTTCCGTATCGAAGCTCCAGCTGCGACTGACCTTGACGATTCTGGATCGTTCTCAACCCAAGATTCTCCTCAACTCTCAGGGGCCTCGGCGTCCGCCACCCCCTCCCACGATCACACCCCCCGCCTCCTCTATTTACCACTTCTACCATCCATACCCCCCACCCTTCTCCTCTAAACCCCTCTTTGCTCCTTCACGGCCCCTGCTTGGGTCATTAATTATCTAATGGAATCAATACGCAGTTAGATTTGACCAGTGTGACCCCGCCCGCCCGCCCCCAGGTATCTTCTCAGAGATGAGGAGGAAGAGGACGTGAAGGAATGATGATAACAGTCCGTACAGTCACATTGTTGACCTAAACTGAAAGAATAAAGAGATCCGCAAATAAATAAATGATTAGAGGGGGTTAGAGGGGAGGATGCAGCGCACGTGGGGGAGCATGCGAAGAAGACGAATAATGTACAAAAAAGAAGAGAAATGATGGACGGGTGAAGATATGGCTGAAAAAATGAGAGAAAAGAGATTTGCTAATGTTCAGCCTTGGTAATCAATATCTTTCCCCTCCTCCTCTTTTATTACAGTGGGCTTTGATGTCCACTCCTTGCAGGCGTGCAGCTACACAGAAACCAATCCATGTCTGTCATAATCACCGTCTACCTCGGCCTCGGCGCTCACCAAGCAGATGAGCGAGTGTACGGAGACCGAAACAATCGGGTTTCTGCTCATTTACAAAGAAAAATAATCCCTAAAAGGATTTAATCTGGACTAGATTACTAAAGAGATCCACAAGTTCAATAACACAAACTGAGTTATTTTGTAAAGAAGCATTCAAATCTGTTCAAAGCAGCAGTCATCAAATAAATATTAGTTGTTTTTGCTTGAATGTGAGGATGCAGAGTGAAAAATCTAGCCCAACACGGAGGTAAATTCCCCCAAACCTGCTGGAAGTATCCCCAAACGCACCTCGTCAAAGCTAAAGGGGAACAAACACTAAAGTGAGCAGAAGTTTTGTTTTTCACTGTGGAGGAGTCAGCCAAGTGGATTCAGCCCTGAGTCCGGGCTGAAGATGGTAAATCCACTCCTCAGGCAGCACTACATCAGCACTGACCTCCACGTAACCACAGGCCAAAGAACAGCGAGCGGGGTCATCCGGCCAGGGCTTCAAAAGCACCGCAGCGAGGAAAACGTCCACATGCTAGCACAGACACAGAGACACACACGGTCCACATGGCAGAACTCCGAGCTGCGTCAAACTTTGGATGAAAGATCTGCAAGTTTGGAAAACGGTAACAGTTTGGAGCTGATCGCAGCATCCTTGTAGTCTTAGGTTTAGGAGAGATTTCAGAGAGAAGTTTCTAAGCAGTGAGATGAGTTCAGATGCCTTCTGATGGTGTGCAGTTTCTATAAGTGGCTGTGTGTGTGTGTGTGTGTGTGTGTGTGTGTGTGTGTGTGTGTGTGTGTGTGTGTGCGTGTGCGTGTGCGTGTGCGTGTGCGTGTGTGTGTGTGTGTCCCTTCAGGCGGGTGTGTGAATGACAGAGGGGGTTATGTAAGGAGCCACAGCGGGGCCGGAGTGGACAGTCCGACCGGAGATCAGGTCAGCAGAGTGTGACACTAAACACATCTCCCTGACACTGCGCTGACACCCTCTGTCACAGACCCACACACACTGTCTGTCAGCGCTCCTCACACACACACACACACACACACACACACACACACACACACACACACACACACACACACAGTCTGTCAACACACTGTGCACTGCCCACCTTTGTGTGTGTGTGTGTGTGTGTGTGTGTGTGTGTGTGTGTGTGTGTGTGTGTGTGTGTGTGTGTGTGTGTGTGTGTGTGTGTGTGTGTGTGTGTGTGTGTGTGTGTGTGTGTGTGTGTGAGAAAGACCAACAGAGAGAGACAAAAACATCAAGAGGGAGAGGTGAGGCATCTACCTGTGAACTTGACAGTTATTCATAGAAAGTGACTCTTTGAGGCGAGCTGCAGCGCTGCGGCTGAAACCAGCACATCCATCCACTCATGTGGTCACAATTAACAAGAAGGAATCAAAAAAGCGACCTGCGTCTTCATGAAAACAAGCTGGCACTTAGTGAAAAACTGCTCAAGTTACATGTAATCGCATCTCCTCCTGCGTTATTTTATCACAGTCACCTGCTGGCAGGACCTGCAGCTCATCAAATCCTTTCACGCCAAAGGAAAAAAAATGAAACAAAACACATCTGAGTTTAATAATAATGATAATAAAAGGTCAGAAGAAGGGACCGTAACATCCTGCACATGCCGGATGGAGGGGCTCAGAGGGTCGGGGTATAAACTGTACCAACGCTCGTGCTTCCTGTTGGTGCACTTATCCAACCTCAGCTCAGGCCAGCCAGTAAGTAGAAACATTCACTTCATAAATGTACTGAAAGTGGAAGGAAAAGTACGTGTATATCTGTTCCTGCTCTGCAAAAATCATCCGTTAGTGAATCATTTCACTTCTCCAATCTGACACCTCATGACTGCCCCTGAAAAGAGTGAAGGTTGCTATTTGATGTGAATTTATCTGCAGCACCTGCAATCTCAGCAGGTGTGGATGCAAATGATCTCGTTGGCGGCGTGCGAAATAGAGTGCAATTTACAAGAAAACACAACATGAATATTTTTCTTGCACGGGGGTAAAAATATACAATATAAACAGTTTAAATAAATAAACTGACAGATGTAAATGTGCAGAATCAAGCAAGAAAGCTGCCTAAACACCAAGCGAAGCCTGCTCCTCTGTCCTCACAAGCCCCTAGACACGATAAGTGACAAAAAGTCCAAACATGTGTTCCTGATGTGATGATTTGATGTTATTTACTTTTCAGCAGCGGCGAACACGAACGCGTGTTTGTCACAGTCGTTCTGCCAATTTGGACCACCTGCTGCAAACACCCTGAAGGCAGTGAACGGTATACCAACGAGCCAGTAAACTGTGACCAATTCAGCCTCTGCAGGTGGAGACGGGCACCTCTGCTCTATCTCAACACAGCACACACATATTCAAACATGCGTGCAAAATGTTAAATTATTTGGCTTTTCTGAACAGAAATAGATTGTTTACACTAGTTTAAAGTGAGGGTATGTCCAGAGAATTTGGAGGATAAACCGGTGACAGCAGCCTTTAGTCAGATAATAATATAAACCAGTTCAGATGTATAACTTTTTAAGCACATCTTTTTATGAAACATGCATGTAAAAATCTGTCACACAATCAGTTTCTTCTTTGAGTCGAAAACTTGTAAACAAGAACTGAAATCAATCAGAAAAAGATGAAATATTAAACATAATTAATTTTCCTCAGAAACTAAATAACAGAAAAAAGAAATTTTACAGTTGAAAAAGTTTGATTTTTATCTGAAAATATGGCTAAAACAACTTTTTCTTAACCATAAATGCTCAAAAATGTAATTAACTGCATCAGAGTAACTTCACAAGTGAGTGTCCCGAGTGTGTGTGTCTGTGTGTGTGGCCTGCAACACCAAGTGGAGCGTGTGTATGCATGTATGTGTGCGTGTGTATGTGTGTGTGTGTGTGTTGACTGTAAGTTGTTACTCACCTGACGGGCATTTCCAGTCTGCTGCTGTTGATCTGATCCACTTTGTCGCTTTCCTCCTCCTCCTCCTCCTCCTCTTCTTCTTCTTCCTCCTCCTCCTCTTCTTCCTCCTCTCCTCTCCGGTGCCCCTGCTCTGCCCTGGCAGTGCCCACCACCCCACCACACCACCTCCGACACCTCCGCCACCAGCAGCACTTTGAGCTTAAACACAGTAAACACACACGGTGTGTGTGAGCCAAAGAGAGGAGGAGGGAGGGCGGTGGGGGTGGGGGGGCTGCGGTGGACGGGGGGAGGGCAGCCTCGGTCCCCTCACCCTCACAAAAGCCGTGGCCGCGCAGCCGGACGCATCGTGGACTCCCCGTTGGAAGAGTGTGCGGTTGTGACAGAAAAGGATGGAGATTGTGTGTGTGTGTGTGTGTGTGTGTGTGTGTGATGTAGCTCTCCTTGGCTCTCAGACTCACTTCACTAACACTCTGCTCCGCTGCCTCTTGGAGATGGACTCGGATTAGGACACAGCCAGTGTGAGAATCTCTTTCTCTCCGTCTCCCCTCCAGCCGGCATGCTCCCTCCCACCCGTCCTCCTCCTCCTCTCAGCCGCTCACTCATTCACTCTCCTCGTTGAGCTTCTTTCTTTTCATTTCCTCTTGGGAAAGCCGTGCACACACCAGTTGTCTCTGCCTTCAGCTGCTCCCTTTCTCCCTCCCTCTCTCTCTCAGTCACTAGTAAATATAAAAGGCATGCTTGTACAGCCCCTCGCCTCAGTCTCTCCCTGACTCTCCCCTCCCTAACTCACTGTGTGTCTCATGCTTTCGTTTACCCCCACCTTCCCCGCTCACTTTCTTTCTCACTGTCAAAGCTGCCTTTCAAATGCTGATTAGCAGCCAGAAAGGAGAGAGGGAGACACAGCGGAGGAGAGAAGACGCCTGGAACAAGTGGGAGATTCCATCACTCTCAAACATATTGTGAAATGTGACTGGCGCTCAGGAAACACTTGTTTTTGTCACTTTTCAGGGCACTGCTGTTACTGGACGCTAACTCCAACTTCAACACAAATAAAACAGGAGGTTTTACCTCCAAGATGTGCGATTCAAACTCTGGGAAACGAGCGTTTCATTCATCAGTTCTTCCAAACATCAAGCAAAACCTTTTAGAACCACAGAGTGTCCAAATCTCTCCAGCTGAAGATATCAGATTGTGTTTTTTGTTCTTTTTAAACTGATCTTTAAAACAAAAAAGGTGAAAAAAATCACTTATTTGCTTCTGATGATCAGTTTTGTAACAATAATGGAACTAAAATCAGTTTAAAAAGAACACCTAAGTTATCACTACTGATGAAAAATGCATTTAAGATACAGTTATAGGTTGCATCAGAATATTTAAGGAGTTATTTAAAGGGCTTTAATGCAGTGTGAGGGATGCTTTGTCATTATCGTGCTCACACAAAGTGTTTAGCTGTTTTCTGTGAGTTGCGTCAGTTTTTATGATGTCTGATGGACAGAAAGGAACTCTAATGAAACGATGGGATCTGAAACAGCCTCACAAGGACATTCACTGTTAGAACTTTGCCATGAATCTAAAACATTTGAGGAAATCATCTGTCAGGATAGAAATTCACAGCTTTTCTCCACTTTGTAACCAAGTTTTGTCCATTTTCTCAGTTAGTTTGTGTTTTCCTGCTCATCACACACCAGGACTGTGGTCCACGTGAACCACTTTTCTCATTTTTATTAAATAATTAAAAAGCAACACAGCTAAAATGATGCTTCAGCTTTCCCTCGCAGTTGATTAAAGGGGCTATAAGTTGAAAATAATGAACATCTCTCTGAGTTGCAGTGACACAAAACTGCAATGTAACGGTTCACGCAACATTTTTTGTGAGTTGACTTTCTTTGTATGAATTTTCCAGATTCGTTGACAGTACGATTGTTAGAGTCCAGTCAACCGTGGATCATTGATCAATGTTCCTGTCTGGGTTCTCTCTGCACTTTGATAAATGATCTGTGGTTAAACGAACTCACACAACCATCCAGTCTCTGACGTCATCATGGGATCTCTTCACCCATGTTAGGTTCGGATTTGTGTTTTAGCTAAATAATTTTCTAAACATGCACGTTTTATTTTTAAATTTCAGCTCATCGATGTAACTTTACATATTTAGAAACATTTAAAAATATTAAAGTGTAACTTTAAAATTGACTATATTTATATTCTGTTTAGTCTGTGGAGCGACTCGGGTTGTTGTAAGACAAATAAACCTTTTGAATCCTTGAATTCTGTTCCAAATATTTGTTTTTAATATCTTATTTTTAAAGATATGGAACACTGGGGGGAAAAAAGCATTTTTAATTGATTATTTCTGACGATAATCAGTCACTTTGAGATTTGAAGATAGTCTTCTACATCTATCTCCTGCATTAGCTTCTGATGGTGAAACTCTTGGATTAGGAAAGTCCGACAGATCTACATCACACTGTCACTTTACATTCATGGACTCACCTCGTCTTGCCTCGTAGAAGCTAACCGTTAGCCTTAGCAACTCCACAATATGGCAGATCTCCTAAGAAATCAGAGGTGAGATTCCCAAATATCAGGAAATAAGTAAATCCTGCTGTCAGCAGCAGCAGCAGACATGTCCATGCTCCCCCACCCCCACCCTCGAGTATGACTTGCAGGGTATTTATTCTTACCAGAAACCACTGCACATGTTTTGATGAAATAAGTGTTTACATTTAAGTAAAAAATGTTAAAATGCAGCTTTTTGTATGTATTACTATGAGTTCCAGATGCTTGCACCAACTTTTTGCTGTTCCATCATTTTGAAAATCTTCAACCTTGCAGCCCTCAGCAACTCTGGCAAGTTTTTCGAGACATTTTAGAAACTCCCTCAAGAGTGTTCTGAGTTTGTAGCTAAAAATCACATCTCAGTGAGATACTGATGTACTGCAAAAACTAACTGGTACCCAAAGCTCCCAAGTTCTTGCTGTAGTCCAACAACTAAACTTATTTTTGTTGAAGGAGTCACGCAGCTGCAGCAGGATCACACTTTATTGCTTCTCGCCACTTTCAGCTTCAGCAGAGATTTTATGATACATGCTGAAAACCTTTCCTTCTTAGATCAAACCAGAACTCATTTTCCAGATAAACATTTGAAAGTACCAGAGTTGTATTGATATGAGGCGTGTGTGTGTGCGTGTGTGTGTGGTGGGATATTAACTCACACTCGATGGTGTGGAAGCATTTTCAGGTTTAGTCAGGTCATTAGGAACATGCACGAGTCTTCTGAGTTTTTCATGTGAATTGCTGCCACTTTGCAACCTAGAGGACAGATGTTATTAGTGTTTTTATTTATTTTTAGACTTCAGTTGTTTACCCTTTCCCAGTCACTCAGTACAGGGTTGAAAGAACAATTTTGTCAGAGGAAAAACTTTAATCCTTCTTGTATTTTTGCACGGTGTTGCTCCTCTTTTGACTTTGATTCCCTGTTTCAGTTTGGACGGGGAGAAAAAAAGATGACCTCCAAAACGCTGAAGTGTGTATTCTGTCTTGTGACCTGCAGGGGGATTGAGATGGGAACAGTCGACCCAGTCAGACCCACCTCTTGTTTTTAACTGGTTTCAAAAGAGCAACATGGCGTGGGCCTAAATGCTAATGAGTTAGAATTGTCCCAGAAGTCACGTCCGTATTTTTTCACCCATGAAGTTGGTTTGGAATGATGCAATCATGAGAAGGATACCCTCAGGTGTGAGAACTCTGTCCGAACAGCTTTTGTATCCACGTCAGCCAGAAACATTAAATGATGACTGGATGGATTAAACTAGAGGGAGCGCTAATGATGAATGATTGATTATTTATGGAGCCTTTTCAGAACCTGCTGCCTTTTCTCTTTCGGTTACAGAACGAGCAAAATCATTTTCCGCAGAATGAAGTGGAACAGGTCTGAGAAGATGCGACCAACGGCAGGATCAAAGATGGACACACATACCAGCGCATACGTGAACAAATAATCACACTCAGAGACTCACTCAAGTACTCTCTGCCCCCCTCCCTTCCCCCTCTCCTCTATTCGTTCCCTTGCCCTCAAACACTACTCAGAATATTGATACACCCCCCCCCCACCCCCCTTCTCTCTCCGTCTTTCTCGCTCACTCCATCACTCACTTTCTCTACTGAATACTGATAGGCTGTCTACTCCGTGGTCTGAGTTTCAAATCTCTCCCTCCCTCTGTCGCTACACACGTTACAAAAAAATGTCCCCCAGCAACATAAAGGAAGAAATAGCAGAAGTTAATGCACTGAGGTAGACATAAATTCACTTAAGTACCATTTCAGATTATGTCAAGCCAAAAATGGGCTTAACATTGTGGAAAGGAGGGAAGCGGTGGGTGGGATGGGGTGACGGAGGAGGGAGGAGGAAAAGCGTTCCTCTGGTTTCCTGTCGTGCCAGCGGAAACTGGGCTGAGCTGCTCGCAGCGCTGTTAGTCAACCGGCGGGTAGCGACAAAAGGGAAGGACGTGTGAAAAGTTGAGGCAAATGAAGATGCATTCAGTGTTTTTTTTTTCTTTCTTTTTGTCCAACTCCCACCCTCCCAACTCATTGTTGGCCATGTCAACTTTGGCACAAACAGCGGGGGGAGAAGAAGGGAGTGAATGAGGTCGTCAAAGAATCCCAGTGAGCCCCCACTTTTTGCTACGCGCGCGCGCGCGCACACACACACACACACACACACACACACACACACACACACACACACACACACACACACACACACACACACTCAAAACATCTTGAAACATTTCAGAGCAGGTGAGAAGGGAAATAAGAGAAACGACACAAGCAAAAATCTCTTGCTTTTTTCACATAGATGGAAAGATGGCAGGGCCTTTCAGGAGTACTTGTGTGAGCATGTGTGTGTGTGACTGTGTGTGTAGTCTCTTTGGAGGAGGCTTTCTGTCTGCAATAAAAGTGCAGCGCGTCTGAGACAGTGGGAGTGGGAGTGTGTGATTTTGTCCTCCAAGTCTTCCCCGGGCGTCCTTGAAGGGGACTTGCGGGGAATGTGTGTGTGTGTGTGTGTGTGTGTGTGTGTGTGTGTCTGTGTGTGTGTGTGTGTGTCTGTGTGTGTGTGTGACATTGTATGAGCTCTCACAGGATCAGTTTAGTGGAGGAGGCTTGCCATCAAGAGCTGTGGTACAGGTGTCTCCCTCACTAATCACATCTTTCCTTTAGGTGACAAAAACCACAAACTGCAGCTGGAAAATTTAACCCGACCTAATGGAGAAGAAATGAAATGACATTAGATAGTTTAGTAAAAGTAAAGGAATAGTGATTGTGTGTGTGTGTGTGTGTGTGTGTGTGTGTGTGTGTGTGTGTGTGTGTGTGTGTGTGTGTGCATGCGTGTGTGTTTGAGTTTCATTCATCTGGAATGGCTTGTAGCAGCTTGTTGTAGAGAGATGGTCACACCCATGTCTGACCTTGTTTCTCCGCCTGTCTACACATGCTATCAGCTGTGGTCAGTCTGATGAAGTGACAGGATGCTGCCCTCCTTGAAAAACAGAGCGAGCGATCAACAAGGAGAAGAAAAAAACATCTTAAATAACACGCAAAGTAAAGGTTATAAAGATTAAAATTAAACACAGTTTAACATTAAAGGCTGATCAGATTTGTGATGTGTCCTTTGACCCAACATGTCTGGTATTTCGGTTCGTTTCACAAGAAAAATCTTTACTGTTACTGTTTTTTAAAGAGAAATTTCACTGAGAAACCAATTTT